AGGTGTGAACCCCTGTGCCTGACCTGCACCTGCATTTCTTTTTAAGATCAAGGAAATCTTTTCCAGAAGTTCCCCAGAAGACTTTCTATGAAGTGCTGTTGAACAGAACTGCATCAACTACACCTTCCCAAACCAGTCATTGGCAAGGGAAATGAGATTACCAATTAAGACTCACCTTTGGGGTTGGAGCTGGGACTGTGGGTGCTTACCCTAACAACAGGTTCTGTTAGGAAGGAGAAAGGAGGCAGAGGATCAGTTGTGTGGCTGCTACATGTAACTTCCACAGGCTCTCATCCCCTGGCCATTTGTTCTTAGGCCCCTCTTCCTCCATCCACCCCTTAAATGTCAATACACCTGGTCTTCAATATCCTCTATACACACTCTTTCTGGATCATCTCATTTATTCTTATGGTTTCAGTTTCTACTTTATGACTTCTGAAACTGCTTCTTTTCTGAGCTTCAGATTTACTGATATTAATAAGAAATAATATAACAATAATAATAGTACTGACATTTATTGTACTGACTTCCAGGCTCTGTACCTTATCTTATTTAATTATCACAACTCTATAACCCTATCCCCCCACCGCCCACTTTTTTTTTTAAGACAGTGTCTCACTCTGTCACCCAGTCTGGAGTGCAGTGGTGTGATCTCAGCTCACTGCAACCTCTGCCTCCCAGGCTTTAGCAATCCTCCCACCTCAGGTTCTGCAAACCTATTCTTATTCCTGGCTTACAGACAAATAAACAGGTTTTTTGCTCAAGGTAGCAGAACTAATAAGTTGGTGAAACTAGAAGTTGGACCGTCTGTCTGACTCCCGTGCCCCACTCCATTGCCTGTTAGGCTTCTGAACCTACTTCAGACACAGGGCAGCCAAACAGAACTCATCATCTTCCCTGGAAACAGCCCTGTCCCCATGCTCCCTGTAGCAATGAGGGAACTACCATTAGTGTCCCAAACTTCTGGTACCAATTTACTGTATTAATCCATTCTCACACTGCTATAAAGAACTACCCAAGACTGGGTAATTTCTAAATAAAAAAGGTTTAATTGACTCACAGTTCTACATTGCTGGGGAGGCTTCAGGAAACTTATAGTCATAGCAGAAGGAGAAGCAGGCACCTTCTTCACAAGGTGGCAGGAGAGAGTATGGGTGGAGGAAAAGACGGATGCTTATGAAACCATCAGATCTCATGAGAACTCCCTCACTATCATGATAACAGCTTGGGAGAAACTGCCCTATGATCCGATCACCTCCCACCAGGTTTCTCCCTCAACACCTGGGGATTACAATTCAAGATGAGATTTGGGCAGCGACACAAATCAAAACTGTATCATATCATTTACCCAATTTAGTCCAGAATCCCCTGGTGAAATGCAGGTGCTATCTCCCTTTTCCTTTGTCCCTTCACTATGTAATGCCAAGTTGGCTTGCTAATTATTCCTTGAACCCAGCTCTTGTTCATTCTCCACTATCATTATCTGAATCCAGGTATGCTGTGACTGGTGTGCATGTGCCTGGGATTTCTCAGCCTCAGGGCTCGCTGTGCAGAATCTTCGCATGGCTGGAGCCCCTGGGTTGGTTGTTTCTATCTGCGAACAGCCCCCCTCCTTTGTCAACCAGTGTGTCATACAACAGGAATCTTTTTCTGTGTATACACAATGAGAAACATGTTAAGAAGCATGACCTGGAGTAGACTGCACCCACCACCCACCTCTCCACTTTCCCTCTCTCACTGCATCCTTCCTCCTGACTGTGGCAGAGAGAGGTTGAATCACTCCCTTGTGATAAACCTCTGGATGGGGGGGCCATCCCCTCACCACCCTCAGGACCAGGTCCACATTACTTATTGTGGCTTATTGCTGGCAACAGGCCTTAAAGCAACTGGCCACAAACAAAATGTCTATAGCACTGTAACATACTTGTGATGGCAGCGACGCACATTGCTGGAGGTTGTTGGTTTACTGGAGCGAGGGAAAGAAATACCTGACCCATCCTGGGTAGAAGACCGCTTAAAGGCATTCCGGAACTGGTGCCCTGAAAACATGTTCCAGTTGCAGTAGATATATGCATCAGAGCCTATTTATCGCCACTAGGAAAGAATGCTTTGTTCCTTGTGAAGAATTATTTTAGCTAATCTATAAACTGGAGTAATGATGATTATCACTTGCTTGCTGTCAATAAATATGTGGGTCAAACTCTGTTCAAGGCTCTCAGCTGGGAAGGCTGAAGCCCCTGATGCCCCACCTTTTGCTCTTTATCTTTGTGTCTGTTTCTTGATTCCTTCAGTGCCGCCTGGGTTGGGGTATCTGTGACCGAACTGGTCTTGGCAGCTGACAAGGCCCTCCATGGCTTCCAGTGTCCCCTCCTGCCTCATGTCTTCATGAGTAGAATTCAGTGCTCCAGAAACATCATGCCTTTCTGCAGTCCTCTCCTCTGTTCTGTGCTGTTTCTCACCCCAGCTTCTTGGCTCATGTGGTTTCACTTGCCCAATATGCTAATAACATGGAGGTTAAGACCAGCGGTGGCATCAGGTAAACTGGGTTCAAGTCCTTGCTCTGTCATTTGTTCATGGTGAAAGAGCACTTAATCTCTTTGAACCCCAATGTATACCCCAGCTATAAAAAGAGTACCCACCTCAGGGGCTGTTGTGAAGATGAAATGAAGAAAACAGGCAGATATAAGTGGTTGACTTTGTTATCCATTTTGCTTAACTGCTCTGATCCCCAAGAAGGCTTCCCTAACCCTCCTTCTGAAGGACCCTGTGCAAAACTCTACAGGCACCACGCACTGACAGTTGTCTGACTGTTTCTCTGCCTCTTTTGGCTGAGGTCTCCAGGCCTAGAATCCTTTTGAGAGTCATCTCAGGGCTCTAGTACAGCTTGGGAAGGCCCACTGTGGCCCATCTGTCAAGGACAGAGCAGGAGGTCCTCCGGAGAAGGTGGTAACATAGTGGGGCATCGAGTATAACAAATGCAGGAGCTCTGCAGAATGACACCAGTTCGCCGCTGGCTTCCCAGTCTGAGACCCCACTGTAGGAGTTGTCCAAGTGGCCGCCTCTCATCTTTTATCCCAGGAGGTGGAGCCAACGCCAAGCATGGCGATTCACCTTAACCTAATCAGGATGCAGCCTGCTCATTCATTCATTTATTCAGAGAGATCTGTCAGGGTGCCAGTCAGGTGCTGGTCCAAATCTTGCATCTCCTGCAGCCTCCTGGTCGTCGTTCCCCGGAAGGGTTCGTGAGCGGCTTTAGAGTGAAGGGACAGCGCTGAGTTGCAGAGACTGGGCAGGGGAACCAGCGTTGACAACCACGCCGACAGGAGCATCCCGCGTTCGCTCGTGTGTGGGACAATGTGTAAGGCAAGCAGGAGGAAGAGACCATCTCGGAGACAGGGGAACAGCCAAGCAGAAACCACTGTGCTGGGAGCGTGGGGGAGGCCGGGAAAGACAGCACATGTGTGGGACGGGAGGAGGGGAGTGAAGAGAGTAGGAAAGACTGCTCTGGCCAGCCGCGGGTGATGGGGACACCTGTCAAGCTCGCTGAATCCGAGGGCCTGGGCAGGCTTTTAGTGCTCCATGTTTCACCGGCGCCCAGTGTGTGAGCAGAACTGTGTCGGCTCTGGGGACGGAGTGAACCAGCACCGTGCAGAATGGCAAAACCATTGCGTGTGGCTCATTCCAAGAAAGGTCCCTACCTTCATATGTAAACTTCCTTACCAAGCAGTTGGGTCGGGGCTTACAAGAGAGGGCGGCGGGCCTAAGGTTCGGCCCCTTTCTCTGGATCTGGTATTTGGAGCAGGTTTTAAGACTTCGGGAAAAGTGGGGCCCCTGCGCAACCACCAAAGGCTGCTTCTCCGGCCCTCAGGACTAAGATCTTGTTCCAGTCCTCCAGTCTTCCAATCCTAGGGCTCTACCCCAGGGGTAGAGAGTGAGAGTGGCTCCCCAGAGTACATTTGCCTTTTGTTGTAGCATTGCATCCTCATTTTGACTCTGGGGCCTGCAGTAAGCCCTGCAGGGTGCTCCACCTTGAAGCATGGGAAGATCCGATGCTGGCCGCCTTATTCTGCGGGTTGCCTGAAAAGGCCCGTGTTTATCCTTCGCTCAACAGAAAACACAACACAACATTAAACACACACAAAGAGAATGAAAGAGAGCAAGGCATCTTCATCAACAAGGGCGCACCATTTAACCACCCGCGACCTCGCAGTGCGCCTCTGCAAAGTGAGGGCTCCGCTCTGTAGCAGGAGATGGGGGTGTTAATTTTGAAAGCGGTTCCCAGTTTTCCGAGGCCAAGGTGTCTGGGGCTGAGAATGACTTTTTTTGAGGACTGGTGAGAAATGTCGTCATTACCGAACTTTCCCCGCCACACTGTGAGTCCCACGCAAAGGCCCCATGACCACCAACCCGAGCCCTGGGTGCTCCCTGGCAGGGTCGCCTTTGCCTTGTCCACGCCCCCATGCGTCCCCGGCCAGGAGGCCATCCTCTCATCCTGGGAGGGCAGGCCTGGCCCGAAGTGCTGCCCCTAAGGCCGGGAGCTGAGATTCTTCTCGGCTTCGGGCCCAGCGCTTTCCACCTCTTGCCCTGTTGAGGGGGCATTCTCCTAGGGGGAATACCTGGGGAAACTGAGACCCAGTAGGGTTAGGGGCCTCCCGGAGAACACCAGCCGCCAGCACAAGGGGATTCAACCCCAGGCCTCAGCCTGGGCCCAGAGCCGTGCTTTGGGGTGGAGTTTACCCACGACTGCCCTTCTTGGGCAAATGTCACCGTTGCCCCGGTCCCCCTAGGTCCGGAGCAGGTCAGTGCTCCAAGCCAGCGGACCTTGACCTAGGGACAGGTGCCCACTAGAACGGGGGCCCTCGGCTCCCCTGCTGTCCTCCCCAAAGGCTGGGCCTCCTGGTCTCGCGGCTGTGCGCACGCTGGGGACGGAGCCGACTGTGGTCCCCTCGCCCTCCCCGCACCGGCTCTTCTGGGCCCGCTGGGGCTGCGCACCGACTCACCCGCGCGGCCTCCGGGCTGCGCCTGCAGCGCTGGCGGCGTCCGGCCCGGCGAGGGCCCGGGTCCCAGGTGGCCGCAGAGGCGGTGGAACCGGAGGGCGGGAGGGGAGGCGATGAGAGCGCGCCGCGCGGAGACGGACTGTCGCCTCCTGCGCGGGGCGGGCGGGGGAGGGAGGAGGAGCGCGCGGGCGGGGCCGCCGTGTGCGTCCCCGCGCTGCCTCCCGGCCTGGTCCGGCGGTCCCGGGGCGGGCTGAGGCCACGCCGGGGAGGGTCCGGGGGGCGCCGCGGTCCCTCCGGCCTCAGGCTCCCCCCTCGGCAGCCTCTCCTACGCGAGCGGCGCCCTTTCAGCGCCAGGGGATCTTAAACCAAAAACCCCGGCCACCCTTCTTGTGTTCGAAATGACCATCTGGGGGTTCTCCGCGGTGGGGACTTCTGCCGGCGCCGCCCCGCTTCCACGCGCCGGAAGTCGGCGAGGGCAGCGCGCGGTCCGGGAGTGCGGCCCACGGTCCTGCTCCGTGGCCCGCAACGCCTCAAAATGGAGTCACTCATGACAGGTGACTCAGCGCACGGGGAGGCTGCGGAGCCCCGCAGCGATCGGCGTGTGCGTGGCGTTCCCGGGCAGTCGCGCCTCGGGCAGCCCCGGACCTGACGGGAAAGCGGAGCCGAGAGGCGGCTGAGAGAGCAGTGGCGACACCGCGGAGGTGCCGGAACCCCGCAGGACGCCGCCCCGGGCGCCACGCCCGCAGGAGCCGGTCCGAGCGGGCCCTGAGGCGCCTCTCCCTGCGCGCGAGGGCGGCGTCCGCGGGCACGCGCGGCCCGGAGGGGTCGCTGTGGGCGCGCGGGGCCGGCGCCGCGGTTGCCTCTCCTCGGCCTGCGCCTGTGGGGGCCGGTGGCTTGGCGGGGTGGGAGAGCCTCGGGTAACCGGGCATCCGGGCACTCACTTGGCCACCGAGCCACTGCGGAGGCGGCCGGGGTCCGCACAGCGAGGCCGACCGGGACCTGACACGGTCACGCGGCGCCGCGGAGCGGGTTCGGGTGGGCGGGGCCGGGCAGTGCTGCCCTCCGCGTTCCGCAGGCGGGGACGGGCGACGGCTCTGGAGGGCTGCAGGGAGGCCGCCGTGTGGGCAGGGAGCCTGTGCCCGGGAGCCGGGCTGCCTCCCGGAACGCGACGCCAGGCTCCCGGGAGCTAGGGCGCGACGCGCGGACACTCGCGTCCCGGCCGGTGGCCTCGCCGCTGCGGGCTGCGCGGAGAGCGGGGTAGCGCGACGCGGCCCCTCACCACGCCGGGGAAGAAGGCGTCACCGCGACGACCCCACGGCATCCCCGCCGCGTGAGCGTCCCGCCGGCGCTGCGGGCCCGACGCTGCCCCCCGGCGGGAGAGCGCTGCAGGAGCCCCGGCGAGGCGGAGCCGCAGGACCAGACCTCCCCGCTGGCCTGGAGGGTCGGGAACAGGGTCGCCCTCCATGTCCCGTGGCAGCCCTCACATGAAAAACAACGAGAGGCCGGGCGCGGTGGCTCGAGCCTGTAATCCCAGCACTTTGGGAGGCCGAGGTGAGTGGATCACCGGAGGTCAGGAGTTCAAGACCAGCCTGGCCATCATGGAGAAGCCCCATCTTTATTTTAAAAAGTATATATTTTTTTAAAAAACGAGTTTATTGAGATGTGATATATTATAGACAAACTATAAATACCAGAAAATTTAAGTGCGGTTCATGGAAGTATACAGTTCTATGACTTTTTTATTTTTTAGATACAGGGTGTCTCTCTGTCGCCCAGGCTGGAGTGCAATGGCACGATCTTGGCTCACTGCAGCCTTGACCTTCTGGGCTTCAGCGCTCCTCCCGCCTCAGCCTCCCGAGTAGCTGGGACCACAGGCGCCGCCATGACGCCCAGCTCAGTTCCATGACTTATGACACATGAAACCACCATGCTAGCCTCCCCTCAGTTCAAGAAGCATATCTCCTCTCCTCCCAAAAGTACCCTCCTGCCCTTCTGCAGCAGATCCTTCACCTCCCCTCGACCCTGTCTCCAGACAAGCTGCTCATCCGATGTCTGCCACTGCACTTCGCCTTTCTCAGAATTGCATACAAGAACGATTCACTGCCTGGTCTTTTGTGCCTGGCTTTCTTCCCTTAGCACATGCATCTGAGAGTCACCCCTATGATGTGTGTGTTGTAAGTTTCCTCTACTGTGGTCTTGAGACCTCTCTGGAGAGTCGCTGTAAAGGGCAACTCTGCCCTGGCAGGGCTCCTGGGATTTGGTCCTGAGTGTTTGCAGTGGGGCTTTCATGGGACACCTCTGTATCCTGGCTGACCAGACATCCCTCTCCCAGGAGACTTATCTATCCTGGCAGATGCCCTTTCAGTTCTTGTCTGACCTGTATCTAGTTTATTCCCACCAAGATAGCTGCTGTCTAGGAAAAGCCCTGACCAGGGAAAACGTAAGGTTTGAGCGTGTCAGTCAGGCACAACACAGAGCAGGCAACACAATGAACCACAGACACTAACAGAAATGGTCTATTACTTCCAGATCCACAGGGGAAGAGGGCACAATGAGGGCCATCAGGAAGGTCTTGGGGTCATTGTACATAACCACCGTGCCGGGAGCCAGAGAGAGATAGAAGTATGGGCTGAAGCTTTTATTGGAGTCCAGGGCATTACTCAAGCAGTTTTCCCAAGGGGAGTTCTAATTGGTTCATCTAGAGTGAGCAGACTGGAGCCCTGTGTGGTCACCTTGTGACTTAGGAGTGGTCACTGTGGCATATCTACATAGTTCATGCAGGGTGTAGGCATCAGTGGGTTGAGTCTAGCAGGTTGTATGTATACATCCCGCAGGGAGGTGGTTATCAGGAGGTGGCTACATAGGACCAGATATCTGGATGGAATGGGCTTAGAAACTGGGAGGAGGCAGAGAGCTGGAAACTGTATCCAAGGTGACTAAGCCCTGCTTCTAGTATGAAACTGTTAACCCTATACTCAAAATGAATACTAAAGCAACATAACATTTCAAGTATTTACTAGAGTGTGTATCAAGTTCCCTCCTCATCACTGGTGAGTTGTATTCCATTGTATGGATATGCCACAGGCTGTCTGTCCATCTGGACACCGGTGGATGGACTAAAGCCAGCCTAGCTGGGCTGGTGGGGAGGCACCTTCTCAGGACCGCAAAGGAGGTTGCAGAGGTTGTTGCTGGATGTCTGCATTGTTTCCAGTTTGAAGGCATTGTGAATAAAACTGACTTGAGCCTTCCTAGAAAGGTCTTTAAATATACTTATGTTTTCATTTCTCTTGGGTAAAATGTCTGGAATTAGGTGGGATGGCTTCATTGCATGATGAGTCTTAAAAAACTTTATAGAAAGCCGGGCGCGGTGGCTCAAGCCTGTAATCCCAGCACTTTGGGAGGCCAAGGCGGGTGGATCACGAGGTCGAGAGTTCGAGACCATCCTGGTCGACATGGTGAAACTCCGTCTCTACTAAAAATACAAAAAATCAGCTGGGCATGGTGGCGTGTGCCTGTAATCCCAGCTACTCAGGAGGCTGAGGCAGGAGAATTACCTGAACCCAGGAGGCGGAGGTTGCGGTGAGCCGAGATCGCGCCATTGCACTCCAGCCTGGGTAATGAGCGAAACTCCGTCTCAAAAAACAAACAAACAAACAAACAAACAAACAAAAAAAACTTTATAGAAAGCTGCCAGGCATGGTGGCTCATGCCTGTAATCCTAGCACTTTGGGAGGCTGAGGCAGGTGGATCACAAAGTCAGCAGTTTGACACCAGCCTGACCAACATGGTGAAACCCCATCTTTACTAAAAATGCAAAAATTAGCCAGGCTTGGTGGCACGTGCCTGTAATCTCAGCTACTCAGGAGGCTGAGGCAGGAGAATCAATTGAATCCGGGAGGTAGAGGTTGCAGTGAGCCAAGATTGGGCCACTGCTCTCCAGCCTGGGCAACAGAGCCAGACTCTGTTTCAAAAAAAAAAAAAAAACTTTATAGGAATCTGTCAAATTGTTTTTCAAAGTGGTCATAATATTTTACATTACCACCAGCAATGTATCAGAGTACATAACGTTCTATGGTTTGTCTTCTCATTTTCTTTTTTCTTTTCTTCCATGAGACAGGGTCTCATGCTGTCTCCCAGGCTGGAGTGCAGTGGTATAATTGTAACTAAATGCAACCTCCAACTCCTGGGCTCAAATGATCCTCCCACCTCAGCCTCTTGAGTAAATGGGACGACAGGCACATGCCACCATGCCTGGCTAATTTTTTTTTTTTTTTTTTTTTTTGAGACGGAGTTTCGCTCTTGTTACCCAGGCTGGAGTGCAATGGCGCGATCTCGGCTCACCGCAACCTCCGCCTACTGGGCTCAGGCAATTCTCCTGCCTCAGCCTCCTAAGTAGCTGGGATTACAGGCACGCACCACCATGCCCAGCTAACTTTTTGTATTTTTAGTAGAGACGGGGTTTCACCTTGTTGACCAGGATGGTCTCGATCTCTCGACCTCGTGATCCACCCGCCTCGGACTCCCAAAGTGCTGGGATTACAGGCTTGAGCCACCGCGCCCGGCCGAGGAGATTTCCATGCGGAAGAAAGTTGAATATGTGGATTTGAAGCTCAGAAGGAAAGTCTGGACTGGGAAGACAGTCTGGTTGGCCATCAGCACGTGGAGCAGGGGTTCTTAACCAGGAGCTTGTAAACCCAGGGAGTTACATGGACAGTTTTGTGGGTATGTATATGTGTACATTGTTTTTCCTGGGGCAAATAAAGGTTTCTGATTTCACAGGGCCCATGACCCCACAAAAGTTAAGAGTCTTTGATGAGGACAGTGGCTGATCCATGGGAAAAAGTAAGATTACTGTGGAACCCTGCTAGGGCAAGAAGGTGTGGGGAACACTCCCGTGTGAGACCCCTAAAAGGCGTGAGTCTCACTATACGGTGAGTTTGATCCCAAACACAGTTTCCTACTGGAGGCAGTCGAGCTATCCGGAAATATAGGAACTGAAAGATGAATGATCAGTTTCTAATAACCACAATATCGTTTGGGCCTAAAACTATGCGTTGCTGCTAGACTGAGTGACCCCCTGCCGGCAACCGGTTCCTACTTTTAACCTTTTTTATGACTCTCTTTTAAGAATAAGTTTTAACCTTTTCTTTACTTACCTGACTGCCTAATGGTTTAACAAAGCAAAGCAAATGCCACCATAAGGGATGGCTTTGATTCCTGACTCAGAGATTTCTGAATGGGGAAGTTGAGTTAAGTTGAGTTAGGAGTAGACAAAGGAGAATCCGATTAAAAGATAATTCTGATGAGCAAAACCAAAAAACCTTTTCACATCTCAGTTCTAAAACAAGGTCAAACCAGAGATACCTGCAGCCAGGAGGAATAATGTTTGTATGTAAACAAGCTTTGTGAATAATGTTTGGATGTAAACAAGCTTTGTGAATAATGTTTGGATGCAAGCTTTGTGATTACAGGAAATTCTGTTACTTTTTACAACCACTGATCGCATATCTGACTTCTCTATTGTATAGGCCATGTGAGGCATACATTTACATTCCTCTTACTATGACGTAAACCAAAGCCAAGAAAGTGTATTTATTCCTGGCCTTTGAAAAATAAAATTTGCTGTTTAGGCACAGCCTATCAGCCCTCCAGACGCCTCGCTTTCTGTCTCTCTGTCTTTATTAATTTTCCAGGCGCACTCCCTCTTCCAGGTATTGGGACCCTCTTGCAGGTCGAGAGACCCCCGGGCAGACGTGCCTACCCGTCCTGGACGGTCCACGACAAGAAGGGAAAAGGCCCCTTCTTTCCTCTGGTCCAGCTGGC